TGAGTCCAAGACCCACACTCTCAAGCGACAAGCCCAAGCTCCGCACGGTGAGGCCCCAGTAACACAGGAAAGTCCCTCTGGATCTCTCCCACAGCCCCTACTGTCCTAAGTCCACCAGTCAGCGGAAGAGAGCTTGAGCTTAACTGGACCGAAGCCTGCACTCCCGGCCTCCTGTTCTTCTCCCCACCCAGTGCCTACCCGGTGTTGGCACGGTGATGTCACCAGAGCACAGGAAACACCCTGCTGCCTGGTGAGGTCACCGTGTGGGCGTGTAGCCGCCAGGCCAGGCCAAGCCCACGACCCTTCTGCTGCAAATTGTTTGCTGAGGCTGGTGGACTCTGCCGGCTGGCACTCCTCTCTTGGACCCTCCCAACCCTCCTCCTGGAGCCCCAGGACTCTGGTCAGGAGCTTTGGTGATTCAGACCTGCTGCTGAGCCACAGTCACCACCAGCCACCACCTTGCGCAAGGGAAGGAACAGGCACAACTGGCCAGACAGGATCCCTGCCCTTGGCCTCCCCCACCCCTGGCCAGGCCCCCATGCCACCAGCTCCCAGACAGGTCCTCCATTCCTGGCTGGGGCTGGCTGGCTGCTCCCCACCCTGAGCTTGGGTCCCAACTTTCCTATGTGTGTGAGGCCTGGCCTGTGATCTCAGGAGAGGAAACTGAGCCTGGCAGCCACAGAGTGTGTGTCTGGGGAATGAGGCTCTTCCTTGTGAGGGGCGTCTCCCCATCAGCATCCCCTGGGAGTACATGCAGGGCCTGTGAGGAAGAGGGGAGGAAGTGCGAGTCCTGTGTGTCTGGACGTGCAGCTCTGGGTGAGGGCCTGACTGTTCTTGTTGCCGGTTCACACGCATGTGAGGCTGTCTCTTAGCATGAAGGGGGGGTGTTGCACAGTTGGTGTTCATGCCTTACTTTCGGTTGAGTGTATGTGCTTGTCTGCACCCAGAGAGGAGTGCTGCAGTGTGTGTGTGGATGTGTGTGCACACTGCTCCATGCCTGTACATCTCGCACTCCTGTCCCACAGATGCTGTGTATGTGGTAAATATTTGGATGTGGTTCTCTGTGGTGTCTACATGTCTCCCTGTCTCAGCTGCCTGTGATCAGTGGTGTGTGGCTCTGTATCCGTCTGGAGTGTCGCCCAGGCTGTCCTCCCACCTCACCACAGACAGGAGGGCAGAGTCATCTCATGTGGAGGGACCCACAGATGAGGTCACTGTCCCTCCAGGTAATAGAAAGTTGCCATCAAGGGCTCCCCAACGAACACAACAAGAGCTCTCTCTCCTCTTGCTTCTCAGGTTCCTACTAGGACTCACCCTTCTCACCCCCAGCCACACTCTTAAGGCCTCTGGCCTGGAGGAGGCCTGTCCCTAGTAATATCTGTTAGCCTCTGCTGCTGTCACCACCAGAAAAATCAGCCCTGTGAGGGTTGTTTGGTGTTGGTTGGTGGGAGGGGATCCTGCCTGGGGCTGAGGGAGGGTCCCAGCCATTCAGGATCTCTGCTCATCTGTTAACCCATCTCCCTCACCACAGTCTCCACAAGGTGAGATTAGGGTGGGGAAGGACCTGGAAGGGGAGCTCTGAAGCCCCCATTCAGGACTGTGACATAAACCAGCCCTTTTCCTTCCTCCCGAATGGCCTTGGCCTTGGAATACAAGGGACTGAAAACCAGGAGATTCTTCTCTCTGGCTTCATCTACCTCCCTCACTTACCCCCCCATTGTCCTAAGCCCCCCAGCTTACCAAGAGCTTCCCAACCTGGGCAAAGCTCCCACCCACCCATTAGTGTCTGAGGGGGGCCACCCCAGAGCAGAGGGAGGTGAGAACAATGGGGCAGGGCAGGCCTGCAGGCAGCCCCGCTCTGGCCCAGACACAGCTCCCAGCACGGATAAGTCCCCTAAACCCCCCGGAGCCAGTCTGAGCCAGGCTGAGTCACCACAACAGCCACACTGTGGGTGGGAGACCCAGAATTCAGCTTCTCCCAAACTCCTGAGATCCTAGCCAGCCCCCCAATCCTGCCAGCCAACCCCCTCCAAGTGTGGCCAGTTCTGCCCCACCCCAAATCACAGCCTCAACTCAGCTCTCAGCACACACCAATTTAAAGGCAAGTAGGGGTGGGGGCAGAGAACTATGGGAAAGGCCAGGGGACATAGGTTCCTGACCCAGTGAGAATGATCCCAGCTTCACACCCTCCTCCAGGGGCTGGTGGCCCCCAATTCTGAACTTCACCTTCTTAGTCTTGATTCTATTCCCAGATCCAGCTACTGGGCTCCTCTCCTTCCCTCCTGACTCAGCTCCTACCCACCCCATCCCTCCTCTTTTCCTAGACCTTGCTCAGAAAGGGCATGTTTTAGAGGCCTGAAAGCCCAGGCATTCTCTCCTCATGAGGCTTAACCCCCTCCACTTTGCCTGGGGGACCCCAGAATCCCAAGGCTGCAGTCTAGAGGCCCAGGGCCATGAACTCTGGTATAAGCCCTTCACTGCCATCTCTGTGGCTAGGGTCCCCTTAGCACACCCCGGGTAGGACGGAGGTCAATGGGGCCACAGGACTTCCCGGGGTCCCCTAGTTGCCCCTCACTGTGTGTGGGGAAGCAGCCTCCCTTTCTGGCTTCCCTGGGTTTGGGTAGATCCTACAGGAAAGCCTCTCCCCCCCCCCTTAAACAGGAGTAGAATAGCAGGGATGGACCCCTCCCTTTCTAGGAAACCAACCTCAGACAAAAAAGCTGATCCCTACCCTCAGAGGACAGACCTCAGAATTCAGAGAACTCCTCACCCTCAGACCCTGCAGGGCCCAGCTGGGCCAAAGAGCTGGGAAGAGAATCCTACTGGAGGGGTGTCGATAGACTTGGGCCTCTCATGCCCGGGGCAGGAGGTGGGGGAGGGGGAAGGGAGGGGACCTCACCCGGAAACTCATCCCATTAAAGAGAAACAAAGAGCTGTGGTGCAGGCGCCTCCCAAGCCGCCTCCCAAGCCTAGCTCCTCTCCCCATCGGGTGGGGCAGGGCCCTGGGGCTCAGAGCTGTCACGGCCCCGAAGATGGGGGGCACTAGGTGCAGGGACAGAAGGCAGTGTCCAGGGTAAAGCCAATCTTGGTCCCTACCCAGAGATGCAGCCAGGACTATCCCCTTTCATTACCACAGCCAGACCAACTGCTTCTCCCAGCATCCAGTACCCAGCACCCAGCTCCCCCTTGGGTCGGGCCTAGACACTCACACAGCCATGGAATCTCAGCTGAAGGCCACAGAGATCACTGGGCCCCACCTCTCGGTCTACTGAGTATAGTTTCTTAGTTGCCCAAGGTCACCTGACAAATTAATAGCAGAGATGGGGACAGAACCCAAGGCTGCTGGCTTCTCTCAATCCAAGGCTTTTTCAGTAAAGAAATACTCTAGCTTCCGGGGAGCTGTTGAGGAGCCTAAACACAGAGCATTCGGAAGGGCGTGGCAGTGGGGGTGGGCCCAGCTGATCCTCAGGCTGGGAACCCTCGGGAGCACCCTCTATCCCTATGCAGGTGACAGCAGCAGCAACTGCAATGTGGTGGCTCACTGAGCACCAGCCTCCGGGGCATCCTGGAGCCAGGGTGCTTCGCTGTCCACAGCCCCCATCAGTCCGTAGGTCTTGGGCAAGGTCAGGTGATTCCCAAACTAGAAGGAGCCTGCTCTCCCTCCTTGAGCTTCTCTTAGAAAGAACAGCTCTGTGTCGTAAGAAAGGTGCAGGGACCATGTCTTGTTCAGATTGTGGCACTCAGACACCTGTGACCAGACATGAGCCCCAGGTGTGCTTCTTTCTGCTTCTCAGTTTCCCTTTGGTACAGTGAGGAGTTGGAGCTGTGATCTCTTTGATCCTGTCCAAGTCCTGAGACACACTGACTCCATCCTTCGGGTGTGGGTAGATCCTGCGGGAGAGTGGCTGCCAAGTTGCCTGGCCCAGCACCCAGGCCCCACCCCCTTGGCCTAGGTGAGTGAGAGGGGCTGTCTGGAAAATGGGAATCAAGACGTGACTGGAGGCTGGGCCAATGACCCTTCCATGTTAAGATCAAAGGAGAGCAGCCCCACCATCCACACATCCAGGCCTTGCTGCAGCTGGCAGCTGGGGACCAGGCAGGGCCCTGCTAGGCCCTGCTGGACACCCAGGCTCCCATCACTGCTCCTGGGACTGGGACTCAAACCGTCCTACGCAGGCAGGTCCCCAAGTTCCAAAGGGAAGGATGTCTCAGTTACTCCTCACCCTGGGCACAGCCACCCAACCCCACTGTGGCCTCATTCTGCAGGTGTGCACATGCACTCTATCCCCCATTTGAAGATTAGAAATTCCTATAATTTATATCTGCTTTATATACATTAGACTGCAGAAATATAAGGCATCTAAGAGAAAATGAGGGACAAGAGATGAACAAAAGAGAACCACACCTAGCTAGAAGGTACTCTGCCCTAGACCCCAACTCATCTGAGTCATCACCTTATTACCACCCTGGCATCTAATAGTGTGTCCAGGGAAACAGAGGGGCCATAGCCCCCCAACAGGTGTCTGGACCTAGGACTCTAGGACATCATGGAGAGGGGAGAAAGAAACCCCCTGTCCACTCTCTGGGCATCAGGCTTCCACACCCGGATGATCGATGATCTCAGAAAGCAGCTCAGCCCTGAGTCAGCTCAGCACCAGTCAGCAGTTCCGAGCTCAGCAGAGAAGCAAGAGCTCCTCCCAGGAAACTGGTAAAAGGGTCCCCTCCAAGCCCACCTCCCTGCCCCCTGCATTGATCATTTCATCTCCCAGAGGCAGCTCTGGCCTCAGCAAGGCTCTGGCAGTAGCAGTCAGGGTCCCCAGACATGGGAACTGGCCCAGGGCAGGAGACACGAAGGGGAAAAGCTACTCTGATTCTTCTGGTGATACAACTGGCAGATAGGGTGGGAGGGAGAGTGAGTCCTCACTGCAGCCTCCTGGGGGCAGGGGGAGCACACGGCTGGGGCTCAGCAGCAGGGGTCCTGATGGTTCAGGGCGGCCTACCTGTGAGTGACGCCAGGAGCAGCAGCAGCAGCCAGGCCTCAAGCCCCCACATGCCGGCTCCCAGGGACAGGGGCATTGGTCCAAGTCCAGTGCTGCCCACTGTTTCTGAAGTTCCACCGAGTTCTCCCTGGGAGCCGTCTGTAGAGCTGGGAGGGCACCGACCCAGGGCAGGAGGGTCACGGAGTCCTCAGGCACCCGATGCACCTGTGTGTCCCACTGGGGTTCCTGCTGGGGGACCTGGCCCCGTTCTACCCACCCAGCTGCAGCTACCCCCAAGAAGCCGTGATCAGGAGTTCCAAGCTCCCCCAGAGCGGCTTCCCACGCCGTGGCCAACAACTACGGCAGAAACTGGGAACCTGCTCAGCAGGTCAGAACAGGTGCGTCTCTGGGGGCTGGGCCTGGCACAGAGACATGCAGCCACCGCCCCCACGGCCTGGGCTAGCTAATGGGCGCTGGGGAGGGAGGGAAGGACCTGAGGGGTGGGATCCTGTCCTCAGCTCTAGGCTTCACCTGGCAGTGTGTGGAAGGGGCTGTGAAGAGAGAGGGCGGGCAAGGCAGGCAGGAGAAGGCCCAGGTGGCTCAAGGAGGGAGGCACCAGGCCAGGAGGAATAGGGCAAGGCCCTGTGGATGGAAAGGAACCTAAGCATCCCACACCCTGCCAGCCTCTCGACCAGGCAAGTCCCCCAGTCTCCTGGAGGGGCTCAAGCCTTGGAGCCACAGTGTCAAGGGAAGGGCAGAACCAAGGACAGTGCCGGCCCCATTCCTCATTCCTCAGATGAGAAGAGGCCTCATCCCGGAGGCAGGGAGTTAGTTCATGGCATATGTAGGAGATGCCATGACCAAGGAATTAGCCCCTCAGATTCCTGGCCTCCCCAGCAGGGCCCTCTCAACATCACACCTTCTTGTTACCTGGCCAGGAGTCCCAAAAGTGCATGAGGCCCCTTCCCACTATCTCCATGGTCATTTTACCCATTTATCTCATGATATTGGACAAGATCGCATGTCTGGACTTTGCAAGGACAGTCTTGATTCAAGCTGTGTTCTCCTGTTCTCCCTCAGCCTCTGCTAGGCCCTTTATTATTTTGTGTGCTCATAATTTGTGAACATCTTATCTCCTTAACTAAATTGCTAGCTTCAAGTCAAGTGACATTGATTGAAGCCTGCTGCATGCCAGGGAGTCAGCAAATGTGTAAATTGAGGGACAGGATAAGAGATGTAGCTTGTGAACTCCTTGAAAGTCAGGCTTGTTTTACAATCTCGTCTCAGTTATCCATGGTGGGACAGTCCACAGCATGTGATGGGACTGAGTACATTTTCACTAAAGGCATGAATTCATGAATGAAGGGGTGTCAGTATGAAACCGGGGCTGTGGTGCAGGCTGTAACACTGCCTCTGTCTGGACCATGACCCCACTCTGGCTCTAGATCCCAGCTCTCAGGTTGGATGCCAAAACTCCCCAGTTTCTCTCCACCTCCACCTGGTGAGCCCCTTCCCCTGCTCGAGACACAGGTTAGGGTTCAGGTTTGGGCTGAGAGCAGCCCCACCCTGATGCTGCTCTGAGATCCACTGTGGCAGGGTGCATAGGGCCGGGGGAATGGGAGGGGAGCATTCTGTGTTATAATTATAATTATCACAGCTTGGATCCTATCGCATGGTTTCAGAGGAGCTCCTTCCCTTCCCACGGACTCACCCCTCCTAGTCCAGGAAACCACAGAGAAACTGAGGCATGGGTGGGAGAGCAGTTTGATCACAGGTGGGTATCCAGTTCCTGTATCTCCTTCAGCTTCCCCAGTCACAATGCACCCCCCCCCACATACACACAGTGCTTATCGTTGAGAAGTCACCCCCAACTCCACGTGGAACACAGAATGAAGGCGGGACTTTCCAGGTGGTATAAGGATAGGACGGATGGACATTTTTTCATGGAATGCTCAGGTCCTATGAACACTAGAGGTGGCCTTGCTTGAGGAAGGGGTCTTTCTCTCCCTCATCTATCAAGCACCTCCCTGCAAGTCCCCCACCCCTCATCCTGCAACCCAGTATATTGGGGCCTTGCTCTTGGGGAACACGTCCTCCCGCTAGGGCCTTTGCTTCCCTGTCTGGGATGAAGCCTGCAGAAGGCAGATTCTAGGGTACCGGCTGCAAGGAGATATTGGTTGGGGAGGATTTTCCATACCAGTGCCTGGTCTCCTAGGTCTGTTCTTTCTCCGTCACTGAACCCCATTCCCCTCATACCTTACTACCCTCCTCCCACCCACATTCTGGGTCCTGAGAACAGGAGCAATTCAAGCCAAGGTGACGAACAGCTGTCTGAGTGGTTCCCTGTGTGCACGCCTGGACACCTGCACACCTGAGTTCATTCCACTGACAGGTAGTGATCACCACTTTGTGCCAGTCCAGGGAGGGGACAGAGGCACCTAACAGCTGTTCGTTGCCTTCAATGAGCCCTCAGCAGAGACAGAGACACGAACAATTAGAACCGCTCTGTGCCTCCGCTGTGCAGTCTTCACGTGACTCTGTGAGCACCCGCACCCATCTTCAGGCCGTGTGTGACAGATCCGGGTACTCATTACCTGCATGTGTCCCAGCACCCACCTGTAGCCCGTCTGTCCCCACGGCAGCTGCACACCTGAGCCAAACCGGTTGGAGTGGGTTGTGCTGAAATTTTTGTTTGTGTCCATGGGACTTGGAGGTGAGTCAGGCAGGGCCAGGGATGGGTGGGGTGGTGTGGGGGAGAGGAAGAGTGAGAGTGAGGGTCAGACTGAGTGGGTGGGTAGGAGGGAGGGACCAAGGTGTT